ATGGGATTGGTTTCTGAATATTAAATGTAATCAAATATTGTGAACAACTTTATTAAAATAAAATATATTTTTAAAAACAAAAACAAAAGACTATTTAGTGATATTTTCACTTAGTGATATTTTCATTAATGGATTTTTTTCTCAATATATAAGGCAAAAGTTTGGCAATACATGACAGGAGATTTGGAATAATAATAATAAAGGTCTAAGTGATTGCCTTATCCAGACCTCAAATTGTGGTTCCAACATCATGATGCACCTCAATCTTTTATCTTGTGACTCCACAGTTCAATCAGAGAGCACTTGTAGCTTTGGGAGTCTTTAATTAGCATAGTGTATAGAATGTGCTGTTTGAAGCTTCTGTATTACCACTGAATAATATTCCACTCTATGCAGATGAGTATTCATTCCCCAGCTGAGAGATTTTGGATTTGTTTCACAATTTTAGCAGTTTAATGGCAATATGTATTTATTAATGGGTTTATGTTAGCATAGGTCTTTCATTTTACTTGGTAAATATATAGAAGTAGGATATTGAGTCATCTGATGAACTTTATAAAATCTGTAAACCTATTTTCAGAGTGATTTTCAATTTTATATTCCCCATAGTAACTTGTGAGCATTCTATTTGTTCTACATCCTCATCAGTACTTGGTCTTCATAACAAACAATAACAGTATATAATTATATAGATGTATTGTGGTTTTAAATCAGTATGTCATTAATGGCCAATGACATTGAGGATCTTTTTGTATACTCTTTGCTCACTTATTTGATAAAGTGAGTTCTAATTAAAAGGCACTCTGTTTCTTAAACATTTTAAGGCATTTATGTTTTTCCTCTTCAATCCCTTCCTCTCTGAATCCTTTGATGATCATGTAACAAATCAGTTCAAAATCATTACTAGCACTTTTACCTATGGACATGTGAAGTCACATTATGTTTATGGGAAAGGCAAAAAATTGTTGCAATCAAGAAAGACAAAAGCTGTAAAGACCAAGAAAAAGAGAGAGAGAGAAAATAAAGGAAAGGGGAGAGAGAGTTCAGGGGTGAAGGTGCTTGCCTTGCATATGACCAACCTTGGTTCCATTCCTGGTTCCCCAAACACTGCCAGGAATGAACCCTGAGCTCAGAGCCAGGGTGAGGGTAAAGCAGATTGGTGCCCAAGAGACTGGACTTAGCGAGTTCTGGTGAAGAAGAAAAAAGTGAGATGCTGGAAGCCAGATAGAGTGAGAAGATGAAGCAAGCTTGGTGCCAAAGATGAAGGAGACATTCAAGGTGGCAGCTCAAACTTTTGGAACATAACACGTAACCTCCAGGCAATTCTATTAAGTATATAGATTGTATTTTGGTTTTAATCAGTATTTCATTAATAGCCAATGACATTGGGAATCTTTTTGTGTATTTTTTGTTCACTGTGTATCTTCTCTGGTAAAGTTTTTTTAAAGTCTTTTAAATTTGGTATAATGGCAGCATGCCTATACATGAACTAAAATGTTTAGAGGGCTATAAATGTCAATTAATTTATTCATTTATGTATTAGTTTTAAATCTTTTACTAGGCACTTATAAACCAGGCACTGTCTTCTAGATGGGGGTACATACAATTGTAGGATGGAAGACAGGATTAAAAAAATTAAACCAACGTGTTCAGAGCAACGATTATTCTATGTGCAAGATAAACCATCTTTATTTTTGCATATGTAGTGGTTTAGCCACACTTCAGTTTGCATGTACTTGTGTGACTTGACTTAATGTTTGTCTCTTTCATGGGGTGCTCCAAGATGTGAATCTGATATAAGTTTCCTTAATTGTGGCTGACATAATAATAAATAATAGAGTAGCGATCAGAATAAACGAAACACTTGTTATTGAAGTACAGAGAGGAGGAATCGCTCATTATGCCTCTGACAACTTAGAGGCCTTCATAAAGGGGGAGCTTTGCAGTGAGTCTTGAAGCAAAGGTTGGAACTTACTGTTGGGGTGGAAGTAGAATACGGAAAAATACACCACTCTTAACTATGGACATATGAAATCATGTCTCTTATGGGAAAGACAAAAAAATCGTAGTGACTAAGAAATAAAAGTTGTAGTGACCAAGAAAGTAAAAGAGAGTGAAAAATAGAAAAAGAAAAGAAAAGAAAAGAAAAGAAAAGAAAAGAAAAGAAAAGAAAAGAAAAGGACCGGAAAGATAGTTCAGGGGTTAGGGCAGTTGTCTTGCATGCTGCCAACCTTGGTTTTATCTCTGGTTCCCCATGCACTACGAGGAATGATCCCTGAGCATAGAGTCAGGATTAAGTCCTGAGCACTGCCAGGCATAGCTCCCAAACAAAGAAACTAAAGTTGTAGTGGGGCAGAATCAACATATATAGAGGAACGTAAGGGCAGGAGATGAGACCATTATGAAAGGCAGGTATGGGGTGAGAATAGGGACCCCTCTAGGAAGAAAAGGGCTTGTCAACCAACACACTAACTGAACTTCGAAGCAATGGAGTTGGGGAGGGGGATGTGCTGAAGGATAACAAACTTTTATGTGACAGAATCACCTTTGTCATTTTTTTTTCTCAAATAATGATCCAGGTAATACTGGTTTGTAAGAAAAGTTTCAGACTACAGCATTGTACTTTGACATCTGTAAAACACTACATCATGATCACCATGCAAGTCACATTTTCACCCATCAGTTCACAACTGTACCTTTCTTGTAGTGAAAGAGACAGAACCCAGCAGAGGAGTGGACAGCAGGTAGAACTTGAAACTGTCGCTAGAGTAGTGATGGGTGATCACGCAGAAGAAAAGTGGAGGTCAGCTAGAGCCAAATACCGCTCTAGAAGATAGAATGTATGGGACTTGGTCATGAAAAGCAAAGGGTGGAGAGAGGCTTTATTATTCTAGCTCTTCTGATGCCTAGGAGTATGTTCAGAGCTGTTATGTTTAAACATATTACCCCCTGATTGATGAGTACAACTTGTCTTTTAGAAAAACATTAGGTGAAGTATAAAGAAACCTAAAAAGTCATCTATCATCCCAGTATGTAGAGGTCATCCTTGTAACATTTCAAGATATATCCATCTATTTTGAAGAATATATACTGAGGGTCAGAGAAATAGTACAGAGTTTCAGGTGTGTGTCTTGCCGTGCACAGGATCTGGTTGGTCAGGAGTACGGAGTGCAAACACAGAGCACCCCGATATGTGGGCCATCTCCACCTCACCACCCTCACCCCACAATATGTATTTTGAGAAGAGATTCTAAGCCTTTTCTCCACCAGAAACGCAAAGTCTCGGGAACTCTGTTTTGAACCCCGATATTAAGTTTTGACTAAAACTATAAGCTAGGTCAATAGAAAGGGAAACTAAGAACTAGGCACTCTGGCAGGAAATTTGGAAGCAGAAGCTCCTTCCCTGGAAATGAAAATTGTGGCAGCGACAACGTCCAGGATATCTCTCAGTATTAGATTCTCATGGGCCGCAGGAACCCGTCCCCGGAACAGGCTCAGTTTAATAAATTCAACCTCAACTTATGCAACGTGCTAGCCCTGCAGAGACGAGCTCCAGGGTTCTATAAATCCTAAAGTAGAGCTAATTGTTTTATTTATTTATTCATTTATTTATTTATTTGCCCAGCGGAATCCTGAGCGGGTGTAAACCTGTGAACACAAACGATGTAAAACTACGAAGTAAACAAACACCACTTTCACTTACGGAGCTGTTAGTCAAAACCAAGTTACCTCGGCTTTTCCCAGTAGAGAGAATGGAGAAGGGAACCTTAAACGAGGGGTCAAGGCGATTTTTATGTCGAAAGGAAGTAGAGTGGAGGAAGGGAGTCTCAGGAGGCCTGCCAGGAAATAAGCGCGAAGAGTAGAAAAATCTAAGGAAGAGGGAGGAGCATGAAAGATCTACAAACGTAGCCACGGGGACAGCCCCACCCCTTCCCCTAGCACAGGTGGCCCTGCGGGAAGCCGGTGGCTGTAGGTGTGCTGGAGATCCCTCTCGGGCCGGCCGCTGGAGTCCTTCCAGCCCGCATTCCTGGGATGGATCAGACCCGAGCACCCCCGGCGGTGAAGGGGCGTGGCGTGATCCGCTCCCACTCTGAGGTTCCGGGCTGAGAAGTCCCGAGACTCGGACAGGATTTACAAGGCGGAAGCAAAGCAAAGCGCCCAGCAAGCCGGCGGGGTTGCTTTTTCCTTCGGGAAAGGGCCTGGGCGGAGCGTGGGAGAAGGATGTCCTGGCTTTCTCTAACAGCTTTGATAAGGAAAGACATGACCACTTTCTCAGCCACAACAGCCCCGCTCCGCTTTCCACCTTTCCACGCTCTCGTCTGCCTCGGGTCCCGCAGTCCAGGTCTTCTGTTGCAAACGTGAAGTGTTAGCAAGGTCCAGATCTGCCCACATGCTTTCAAGCACAGGTGCTTAGGTGCAAAGGGTTTCGCGGAACCCTGGAGTGGCGGGGCAGAGGATATACCTGGGGCCGTTTCACACTGCCAGGCTGGTTATCACTTCGTTGCTAGCCAGGGTGAGCGAGCGGCGCGGGGAGCCGCTCGGGGGAAGGAATCGATGCATTCGGGGCTAATCCTGCTGGATTTTGAGTTCGCTATTTGAACAAGCATCAAGGGCAGACTTCAGATGCTCCCCCGCACCGCCCGCGACCCTCAACGGATCCTCAGCCCTGGCCACCTCCCACCCCAGCCGTTTGCGTCCCGCGTCCCACCAGAGCCTGCTGGAGTTTGCACACTTGGTGCACTCGCTGACTCGCAGAGTTGGGGGTCGTGAGCGCCCGACCAATGAGCGCACGGGGCGGAGGGCTGGGCTCCGCCCCCCACCAACCACCCGAGCGCTGATTGGTCGCGCGGCCGGGCTCCCAGGCGGGCAGCCCGGAGCTGCAGGCGCGGTGGGCGTGGCGCTCGCCGAGCTCCCCCCGCCCCCAGCCCCGCCCCGCGCGCTCCCCCCACCTCCTCCCTTCTTTACTCCTCCCTCGCTCGCTCCCTCCTCTGCTCTCCCTGGCTCTGGCCGCGCGCTGGCGGGGCTCCGCATTGCACACTCTGGGGGCGCCGCAGTGTTGGTGGGATGGGGCAGCGGGCTGCCGCTGGCGGCCGGAATCCGCGCGCAGCCCGGGTGAGTAGAGGCGGGTTTCCCGGGAGAGCACAAAAGGAGATGGGGTTGGTGCCAGGCGCCCGAGCCAAAAACGCGGGGCCTGGGCCAAGCGGGCAGTGGGCTGGAGCCCTGCAAACTGCCCGGTGCTTAGGACAGCTCCCCCCGGGGGCCCAGCGGAGCTGGCATTCTCGCCTCTTTCTGGCGGAGCGGGCGGCCAGCAGCACTCTGGGCGCCCGGCAGGTCCAGAGGGGCGTGCATGTGTATGTGTGTGTGTGTGTGTGTGTGTGTGTGTGTGTGTGTGTGTGTGTGTGTGTGCGCTCGCGTGTGTGCGTGTGCGTGCTCGGGGGTAGCGCTGGCGCGCAGCGGGTGGGCTGCAAATGTCAGCGCCGCCAAGTTCAAGGCGGGAGGAGTCCCTCCCCGGAGTCGTTGGCCGCTTTTCCCGGGGCCGAGCGAGCGTCCACCTGCAACTCCGGCCCGAGGGAGTTGGCGGGCGAACGGAGTGGCAGCCGCCCCACAGGTTGCTGCGGCCCGGGAGGAGCGACGCGAGGGTGGGTGGGGTGGCTGTGACCCGCCTTGCGCCCGAAGAGCCGCAGCCTAAGATGCGGCTACGCGTGGCTCCCGTGGCCACGGCGGGAGCGCGCCAGGCCCGGGGACCACCCACCCGCGCGCCCGGGCCAGGGGCCAGTCGGCTCCCGCCGCCTGGGTTTGACCGGGGCTGGACTTGCTGTGCTAAGAGCGGTGGTCTAGGGGGGCTCGAGTCTATTTTCGCCTCAAGTTCTCTCTCTCTCTCTCTCTCTCTCTCTCTCTCTCTCTCTCTCTCTCTCTCTCTCTCTCTGGGTCTCTGATTTTCTCTGACGACCACCCCCAGCACTGCCGTCCCGGCCCCCCGCTGCACCCCCAATCCCGGCTGGCACCAAGAGCCCGACGCCTCCCGCCCCCAAACTTGATGTTCGAACGTGCTTGCATCTGGCGCGGTCCCTGGCTTCGTCTTAAGTGTCAACAATCATTTGTCGTTTCTTTGGACTCCGAAGACTTGTTTCCAAAGGAGGGGGACAGGGTGCCAGATCTTGGACAGTGGCAGTGATTTGTTAGGTAGCGTTGAGCTCTCCGCGCCCACGACAGAAGCACGTGAAAGCTTCTCCCTTTGGTAACCTCTCCCACGATGTGACCTCCAAAATGCAATTTTGTTTGTGGGAGGCTCGGGAGTTTAGATCCTCCCGGGGGAGGCTTATTTCTTGTTAAATTGACTTAGGTGACGTACTCGGCTCTCATCTGGCCAGGCACAGCAGACGCTTGCGATATTACTTGAGCAATTCGCTTCCAACCCTTTACGTTTGCTTTTAGAATGTGAGAACTCCGAGGGAGCTGCTTAAAATTTTACATCTGCCCCTTATTTCTCTGGAAGACGTTAATGGTTACTGTATGTGTGTACCAAGTTTGCGGAAGATATTTGTGCAATCGTCCATGAAATGGCTTAACACACATTTATGTTAAAACCATTTAAATGTAAAGCATCTGTCTGTTTTCAATTTGAGTTTCCACCTTGACCAAAGGCACCAGACTGAAACAGGACTTAAAAGAGGCCTCCTTGTTTCAACAGAGGTTTTACAGGACTCTAGCTGTGAAGGCACACAGTAAGCTTTCTGTGCCAGTAGACACACAGGGCTGGTTAAACACTGAGAGTGGGTTCCTTGGCTTAAAAACAGCAGAAATGCTTCAGAAGAAAAAGGTAGATCTGATTCATGGGTCTGCATTTTCAAGTTGTTGACAGTCTGTATGATGAATGTTTATAGAATAGAAGGCAAAAAAAAAAAAAGAGGAAGAGGGGGAAATATTATGGCAAATAATGCCAAATTAAAAAATAAATCATTGGGGCTGGAGAGATAGCACAGTGGGTAGGGCGTTTGCCTTGCATGCGGCCGACCCGGGTTCGATTCCCAGCATCCCATATGGTCCCCCATGCACCACCAGGAGTAATTCCTGAGTGCAGAGTCAGGAGTAACCCCTTTGCATTGCCGAGTGTGACCCAAAATGCTAAAAATAAATAAATAAATCGTAGTTTAAACAGCAGCACGCTGTACAGAATCCAGAATACCCTGAGATCTACTATTAAAGTGTCTGGAGGAAGTCATAATTGTTGTCATTTCCATTTTATAAGTGGGACAGTTGAGGCTCAGAGACCAAGTGTTCCCTCCCCCTCCAGCAGAGTTTAAGTCCATTGTTTTCCTAATTCCTTCTTTCCCTTGGCGCCCTCTCTCCATTTCTTCCTTCATTCTGGGTTATATCTCTGCTGTTTCCCTACTCTTGTTTTTTTGTACCTCTTTTTCTTTTCCAGTCTGCACTGTCAGGACCATTGTATATCATTCCCAAAAAGGCTTGTCTCTGTTTTAAATATCATGTACTTCACAGGAAGGTGTGGGCGGATAGAAAAGATTTAAGGAGAAAGCTAATAGTGGTTTTAAGGAGCTGCCTCTTTCAAAGGGGGTATATTATTGTTATTATTGACTTGTTATACAAATAACCAAAACCCTGAAGAAAGATTTTCTAATGATAGTGTTTCAGGTAAAGCAGTGAGTGATAGTGGCAAGGATGTTTGAGAAATACATAGGTCACCCACTTTATACAAAGAAACTCTTTGCAAATTCCATAGCTAATTATATTGAAACCCTAATAAGTGATGATTTCATTAGTTTTATTCTTATTTTTAAAAAAGAATTGACACACAAAAAAATTGCTAAATAATGTGGAACCATTCTCAGGGTGAAAATCCCACTTATCAAAAGTCCTGAAATCCTCATTAACTGGTGTACAAATAGAACAAAAGACATTGATGAAAGAGAAATATTTTTTCTTTCATAGATAGCAATAAGGAGCATACAGTTATCTGCCTGTTTATTTAAAAACCATCATTTATGATGATTTCTTGGAAAATAATTGCTCACAATATGTGGTATCATATACTATTTATCAAGATGAATAGAATTAATTTTCTTTGCATTGATGGAGATGAGTCCTGAATTTACTACTAATAAGTTCTGGTTAATTCTGTGGGCTTGAAGATGCAAGGCTTGACTTCACAAACACTATCTATGGGATTTCAGAAAGATTGGACCTTTGTGCTTCAGTTTCCTTATGTAAATATAACTAATAGTATCAGCTACAGCTTTTTAATTTCTTCATGCAGCAATATTTAGTGAGCACCTACTATGTGCGAACATGATCGAGGTGTTAGAGATTCATAGCCAAATTCTTAGCCAAAGTAGTTTAACCTCTACTGTCTGAGACTTAATGATATGATGCATTTAAAGTGCTTAGAATGGAAATGACTCTTAATAGGATTCCTGTGATTATTAAGTGTTATGACATTTATTAAGGATACATTTACTGAATACCTAGGAGAAACAATTCAGATTGGAACACATAGTGTGGAATTGCGCACGCGCGCGCGCGCGCGCACACACACACACACACACACACACACACAGACCACTCATAAATGCATGCAAGCATGCACGCACTTCAATTAGATTCAGTTAAATATTCTAATAGTGGAATATTTAGAAATATTTAGAATAGCTAGGGGACACCAAAGAAAGATAGCAAGTGTGCAATATGTTCTCTAGAAGGGAATTTGTTGCAGACATGCTAGAGATAAAAATAGAAAGATTTTGGGGAGGGGAGTCTCCTAAGTAGTGTTCATACAATCACTCCTGGCAATACTCCTTTCTGTAGGTCTGAATGATCTATACTCAGACTGGTGAATGCAGCACTGTTCTGCTCTAGTCCTCTCAGCAGCACTGGATGAGAAGTGTAGGTTGTGGAGGGGCTAGGACTTGAACTCGGGGTCTGGCATACAGAAATGTGTGCAAAGCATGGGCTCTAGCCCTTTAAGCTATCTTCCTATCCCCTAGGAAAAAATAATGAAAAAGTTACATTACTTATATGAAAGAGTGGGCGACTACATGAATTATGGTATGGAAATCCAAATGTGATTAGAAAAATAAAGATCTTATATTCAAGCTCTTTGAAATTCTAAATACAAAGGGAAAAATAAAAAGGAGAATGCTTCCTGAGAATGATTCCATGTACTGTCAAAAAAAAGTTTGAAGGTTAGGTGATTAAACTGTACCAAAGAAGGGTGACAGATCCTAGGAACACTGAAAATGAAACAGCCAAAACTAAATTTGAGGAAATCCTTGCAGTGCATTCCCCAAAACAGTCATGAAAATCTCTTAAATGCTGTGAAATGAGAATTGTGGAAGAAATTAGCTTTCATCATAGCAAACATAGACTCAGGGATAAAAAGAGAATACAGGTAAATGAATTCTTTGCTTCTGCTTTTGCTGAGTAATATCCCTGCATGCATGCTTTCTCAAGCAATAAACACATTGGAGATAATAGAGCAGGAAATGGAAAGCACTCAGTATAATCCAGATTTAATCAATGGGTAGATACAAAATCCTTAAGATCAGATGACCATCACCCAAGTGTATTGAAGAACTGTAGTGTGTAAGTCACTGCTCTCTGGGGAGATGAAAGGTGGTCTTAGGGGTCTTCTGTCAGGAAAGGGGACTCAGGGAGGACCTTAGAATTACCTAGTCAGATCTGAATCCTTATAGAGAATTGGGAGATCAGTATTCAAAGCAAGTACAGATTACAGCAAATGCAATTTATTTTTGGAAAAGAAAGATAATGTATTAGAAATAAAGGAGGAAATATGTTTGTAGCTAAAGTGTTGCCCAAAATGTTAGTTTTAACTTTTAAAAATCCTGCAAACCTCAGCTTACTGTATACTCATGACCTTTTTTGTTTGACCAAGAAACAAGAGTGGAGGTGAATAGACACTTCTCTGAGTGGATAAATAGACTCTCTTGGAAGTAGTTTGAGGATGGTTTTATTTAACTTTCATAAATCATATGTAGCACTTATGGGTAAGTAAAAACAAAGCTTATAACATAGGAGTAACTTCAAAGATACTTAAATGGGAAAAAATAATAGAAGATTCAAGTCAAAAGGAAAAT